GGGGGGGGGGGGTGGGGAGAAAGGGTTAGGAGGATCTTCAGAGTCTGTAGACTGCCAAAGGCAGAGGAATCCCTCTCAAATATTTTTCTGAAGGCTTCGAAAGCAGGCTGCTGCCCACATTGGTGATCTTTAGCACACACCCCTCAGTCTAAAGGTCGGTTTTTCCAAACAAAGTATATCTTGAGACACCTTTGTCATTTGGTCATACCCAGTCTTTGCCTCTCTGAGTCAATATATTTACCGCTTTCCCTGAGAACCTAAAAATCATTACAGGGAGACATTTTTGTGTTTTGTGTTGCTGTTGTTGTTATTTAAATTGAGGTGTCATGTATGATCAAGTTCTTCAAAACAGCAGCAGTTATTCAAATGGCCAAAGGGAAAATAAAGTCATTAGGTAGGGTTGGTGAGAGTTGGAACATGCCGTTTTTGGGGTTTATTTATTTATTTATTTTTAACAAGGGAACGCATTTGATAGAGAGCCAACGCCACTCCAAAAAGCTCGATTGTTTTCTCGTTAGTCGGGAGCCGGGGCAGAGAGGGGCCTGGATTAAGTAACACCATAGACTGGCTCTGAGCAGCTCCACAGGACCTCAGCGTTGTGGCATGCACAACCTGGAGGGAGGAAACCTGCGTTCAGATGTGCCTCGTGTTCTCCATTTCCCTGTCATGGTCTAGGGAAACTTTTCCTGGAAACCCAGTGGCAGGAAGTTCCCTGGCCCAGGTGTTCTGTGCAGGGGCCTGGCCCTCGGGAACTCCCTGTGAGTTGTTTACTACTGAGGCCTGGGACACCCTCTGCTGCCGGTGACTCCATACTCACCAATGCAGTTTCCATAGCTATGACCTCAGGCCACTCATGCTCCCCAGACCCCAAGATTACATAAACCACAGTTTCTGAAGTGACTTGGAAATTATTTTTTTATCAGTTTCTATTATAGAAAGTATTAAATCAGTGTTGCAGCTCATTCTTCTTTCTTTCATCTGCCACACAAACAAACAAACAATAGCAACAACAAAAATATTAAGCCTGCAAAAAAAAAAGTTTGTTTTAATTGTCATAGAACATTTGCTTTTGACCTACATGTACACATTTTTAAAGAATTCTTTTTCCTACTAAGGGTGGTGGTGGGTGGGATGGGGCTACAAAAAAAAATGAAACTGCCTCTAGTTTACCTTAAAATTGTACTTTAAAATTGTCTTTAATGCCCAGTTCCCTTTAGATATGAGCGTATCCCTCTTTCTCTCTGCACCCTTTCCCCATTTCTGGCGTAAAGGGCAGGCTTTATTTGTACTGGAGGTCAGCAAAGGGGAGCACCCTGTTGCGGTTAGCAGCGAAAGCTCAGAAACCAGAATTAAATTAGTTTGTGCCAGATTCTAATTTTAGATATTTCTTTTGAGTTTCTTAAATGAAAGGTTTTCTTAAAATAACACTTGCTCTCTCTTGTCTTGTTTTAATAGGTCGGATAACCACAGCAACAGAATCAAAGCTTCTCGCCCTAAAACAGGCGGCCCACAGCAGAATGTGACCAACAACCGCACACACTGATCCCAGACGCCCCGCCTGACGCCTCCTCCCAGGGAGGCAGCCGCGCTGCGCGGCTCACCGCACTCTCTCCACACTCTGCACTCACCTGCATCACCGCAAAAACCTCCTCCCTGCATAGACCATTTCTTGCTCCAGACTGGCAAGGGACCATCGTCCTCCTAAACATCCCAAGAACAGTGAAGGAGTCCCCCAGCGCGGCTTCATTTGCTGTGTCTCACTCAGCGCCCGCCCGGCACATTTCAGGGAGAAACTGCAAAGTCCACAAAGAGATTCCCCCTGGGGAATGCACAAATTGAAAACATATTCAAGCGAAAACGAATTTGGTTTCTTTAATTCACAAAATGCAAAAGTGAAACCGTTACTACTGTCAATCAGGATGTGTTTCGTAAATGAGTCTACCTCACCTGTATTGCACTCGGACAGGAGTATTTCCCCACCTTTAATGATTGCCTCCCAAACTCTGTCCCTCCCCTGAAGCCTCCACACTAACTCCTAGCCTCACAGAAGTCTGGTCCAGTGTGTCGGTGGTGGATATAACATTTTCGTGGTAATCTACTAGCTCCGACCCCTAAGAAAAACGATCATCGAACCAGGAGGTTCCCTTACCTTGATTTCCAGAAACACAGTGGTATAGGGTTGTTTAAAAGACATCAGAGAGTAAACATTGCTTATGCTTCAAAGCAGTAAAATTATTTTCTTTTATGTAACTGGCAAATGGAAGAGATTGGATTAAATTTTGATGTACTTATTTTTTTATAGATATTTATATTCAAACAATTTATTCCTTATATTTACCATGTTAAATATGTCTGGGCAGGCCATATTGGTCTATGTATTTTTTTTTAAATGTTATTTCTGAATGAAATTGAGAAAATGCTTTGTTTTGCCTGTCAAGGTAATGACTTTAGAAAATAAATATTTTTTCCTCTACTGTATTGATTTTGAGTCATCTCTGAAATTCCTAAGAAGTGGGCCCAAGTGGTAAGAATTATGAGGGGGAAAGATCAAAGATGGTTTCTTAGGAAGGTGGCGATTAGAAGGAACATAGTCTTATCTTGGCTATTTTTTAAAAAAAGAGCTTGATCTATAACTTAAAAGTTGCCTTTGGATCACATTAAAGTAAAAACAAAACAAAGCCCAGCTTTAAACCCTCCGCCTTCTGCTTCCATTCACCTGAAAGCTCTCCTGGGACTTCATGCATTAGCTTTGCTTAGGCCATTAGACAGGATCCAGCAGTTTAAGCTGATGGTGTGGTGAGAGGGGCTTTCTCCATTAATGGGCTGAAGGAAGCAATGGCAAGGCGACCTCCCAAATGTGCCCAATTACAGAGTTTCACATCTTTGAGAAAGTGTCCAGCTCAGAGCAAGTTAGGGGCCCCCAGTGGCCTTATATTTGCTCAGATTAAGAACTTTGTTTGCTCAGGAACACTGAGTACCTTCACTTCTTCACGGTAGCCCGGGACTGGACAGCTGCCTGCGGAGGGAGCAACACCAAAGGCTGATCTTAGGTCGGCCTCCTGCAGCCCAGCACCACCCTCCTCTCCACTGGGCCTGGGGCCGCCTGGCCAGATCGCCGCGGGGAGTCACATTGTAAATGGCTGTTACCAACAGAAGCCCATAAGAGCTCGATCAGCTTATGAGAATCGTCACCACCCTTCTCCAATAGTGTCTGAAAGAATGCCTGGAATTCAACAAATATTAGCTCACGGTGATCACTGTTGTCCAAACAGTGACACATCTGAAGGATGTTAAATAACAGCCTTCAGGTGTGGTTCTCAGTGTCCCCGGCAGTTGCTGTCCTTGTTGGCATCGTTTTCCATCTTTTGCCTTTTTTGAAAGAGACAGTTCAATGTCTTTGGGAAATTGCTTATAAAGCTCGCTTTATCTGGCAAACTGTTTCTCAGTGTGCGGTTCCCAAGGAAGCTGGGAACGCTTGTGCATATTGACCAGGGACTTGGCCTGAATCTAGCCACTATTCCACCTTCAGCAACCACTCAGTCCCCCTTGAATTTTGAGTTTCCTCATTTGTTAACGGGTGGGGGTGGGGGTGTTTCTCTAACAGCTTCAAGAAAGGCTGAGAGGAAAGAAGTTGTGTTGACGCAGAGGAGTGACAGCCTGAGCTTGGAGGACTTGGGCCTAACACGTTTAAGAGGGAGTGGGGATGAGACGAGGCCACTGAGGAAAGAACAGCACAGCAGCAAAGGTGATAACGCTTTCTACTTCTTCGTCTTATAAAAAAATTACCTGGACCTGTAAACCCTCTTCACCCAGGCTTCCTCCCTAAGAAACTGGCAGGAAAGTAAAAGCGTGAAGCCAGTCTGCTAGGGCCTGAGGGCCAGCAGTAAAATAAATGGGAAAGGTTCATAGAAAATGAGTGTTTTTCAAGTATGTAGAGGTAAGATTCCATATTATTCAAGGCTCATGCCAGCTTGAGGGGTGAGCTGACAGGACAGTCTGTCATACTTCCGGCAATATTTTCAGGAGAGCGTTGTTTTTGGAAGCCCATTTAGGACAGATTTCTCTCTTCACACTAATAGCCAGGCACAGCTTTGATCTCAAGACTGCAGGGCAAGAGGATCCTGGGTGGGCAGTGGTGACCTTTGGTGAAAGGAGGGGAGCCCACTAATGGATACTTACTTTATTCCACCACCACCCCCCTTTTCCCCAGGGAATGGCTTCTTTTGTGATGGAAACCATTGGCTTTCACCCTGCCTGCGCTTCCTGAGATACTCAGGGCATTATATACTAAGTAGAGTTCTCAGCACCCCAGGTATCCCACTAAGCTAGAGCTCCGTTAGGAGGACCCTTGATAACGTTGACAAAGAGCAATCTTTTGTCTCTCCAGGTAAAAAAAGCAAAGGCCCAAGGAGGAAGTGACCTACCTAAGGTCACACAGCAAGTGGGTAGCATCTCAGGGACCTGAACCCCTGAACGCAGATGTTCCACCCAAAGGCACCTGAAGGCCAGTGGAGACAAATGCCCAAGCAAACCTTAATAGAGGGCCCTGGGTGGTAAAGGCAAAATCACTCTTCCTAAAACAGTGACTTCCAGCCTCACAGACCATGGCTGCCAGGTCCATCCTCAAAGGATGAAAGGGAAGACATGTAGAGGAAGGGAAACAGAATGTAAGGAAGTATTCAGATCTCATGGCATCAGGAAGTGAATTTCTATAGGATGAAATGGAATAAAGCTAGGAACTTTGTTATTACTAAATTTTAATCCTTAAATAATAGGAGTGAAGGGGAATTCTCTTGGTCAATTCACTTACTCTATAGTGCAAGGAAGTGGTTTTTGTTTGTTTTATTTTAATACATTTTTATTGATTTCACAGAGAGGAAGAGAGAGGGAGAGGGAGATAGAAACATCAATGATGAGAGAGTCATTGATCAGCTGCCTCCTGCACCCCCCCCCCCAGGGGATTAAGCCAGCAACCCAGGCATATGCCCTGACCTGGAATCGAACCACGATCTCCTGGTTCATAGGTCTACGCTCAACTGCTGAGCCATGCCAGCTGGGCAAGGCAGTAATTTTTAATTCTGTGTCTAACATCTTGAAAATGCTTATTTTCAAGCCCAAGTTCTCAGTATGTCAAACATTGTTTTCAAGCCCATGTTCTCAAAGGAGTTCTTTCCAGCTTGGCTTTCTCTCACCTTTGCACTCACAGCTCCTGGGATCCTGGGTCTGGGGCTCAGGATATTCTTACTGCAGGTGAATGCTGCTCTTCTCATAACCTTACAATTTAATAGTGACTCCTTATCTTTGTAGATAGTTGGATTTCCCATAACCTTTTCACATCCCTTCTCCTATTTGACCCCCTCCCCCAACAATCTTTTCAGGATGTTGGGGCCATATTTTTATACCCACTTGACAGCCAAAGAAACAGATATACTGTAAGTTGTCCAGGCTCCTCCCCCCATCAGGCAAATAGCAATACTGAAACTCAGGGCTCCTGGCCCCTTCTTAAATTTCTCCAGAGCAGAGAGGATAGCACTGGCCCTGAAGCTAAAGTATCCTGCTAAAACCCAGGAGGGTAATTTTTTTTTAATGATATTGAAAATCTTAAAGCAACGCAATGACAGCAAATGGAACAGAACTCTCTTATTTTCGTGTGGCATTGATTGGATTGAAATTTTGGGACATACTTTTAAAAAGAAAAGAAAAGCAATTCTAACAGATTTTGACTAAATTTCGATAAATAATCTAAACTTGTATTTAATAAAATGAGATAATTCCCCTGGAAGCCTCTTTACTTAACCAAACATAAAATTACTTCATAGCTCAAATGCTCTGCCAATTTTCTATCTACCACATGATCAAAAATGCGCTTTCACCATGTCAAGAATTCTCACTTGATATATGGGCAAAAATTGCACAACCACCTGTCAACTTAAAAAGTCTTTTTCAGGATCTTGCTAAGATGCCAATTACTCTACTGTGGACATTGCTCACTGGTTTGTTCCCCCTGTACCTGGTTCGTTTTGCTCTGATCAATGGACATAGGTGGTGTCCCTCAGTTTGGTGAAAGACAAAATGCATTAAGAGTTAAGGAGATGACTTTATTCAGGATATTACAATAAAGAAAATGATCATTAAATGAAGAATATTTAAAGCAAAGGAAGTGGGCCTGAGATTTACAGAGGCAGGTAGATAAGATGTTGTCTATGGGTCTTACGGGAGACATGCAGAAGAACGGAGGTGGTCTTCCCTGAGTTGTTGAGAAAGGATGGATGGGATTAAGTGAGAGAGCAGGGTGGGGATTAGCCATTTCTTAGAACACAAAAGGGGAAGTGAACTTCTTGACACTTGCTTTTGGGGAACACAGGGCTCCCATCAGGTTCAACATTGTCAGCCCCACCTTTTTGTTCAAGATGAGTATCGTTCACCACTGAACAACTCAGCAGTGATCATAAACCTTCGGAGTGGGGTGAGCTGTGGTTTCAGAAACAGTCTGAAAAGGAATCTATCTTCTGCAAAACCGGTTGAACCATCTGTGCAGAAGTCATTGATAAAGGTCAGTGGTTTTAGGGTCCTGGAGATCAGACCCGTTAGAAAAGAATGCTTAAAGTTTAAAAAAGAAAGGTTACTATAAAAGGTTGTATTAAAGAGCCAGGAAAGGTTAAAAATTTAATAAGATTTGACAATTTGGGAAGGTAACAGGAGCTAGTCCAAATTCCAGATAAGTACCCAAACAGAGTTTTCCACAGTTGGGGAGCAAGTCAATTAAATAACCACCAGATAAGATAGAGTTTGCGTATGCATCAGTTATCCACAATTTAAAATATACCTAAAATAGCTCAAAGACAATGAACAGGGCCAGAATCTGATAACCTGGAAGGATGTGCTCTATAATGTATAGATGTTCATTAAAACACCAAATGCCTCTTTATACTCACCCTGCTTTTAATAAAAAATAATCTCAAAGAAAGGTTATTCTTTGTGCTAAAATAAGGCTATTTTAATTAAATATGACATAGTTATTTAGATAGGTATAGTAAGAATGATAATTTACCATATAGACCATTTTAAGTTTGCTTTCTGAAAATTTTCATAAGGAATTTCAGATTGAATGTTTCAAAAAGCCTCTTGTGGCTGGCTAGTCAAGCTGAGTACTCACTACAGATTTCACCTGTAGTAGTTATAAATTTGGAAACATTCCTCTCTTCTTGAGGTCCCCCAAATATTCTAAGATTCATGGACCTGTCAAAAGTACCTTTCTTACTCACTGGTAAGGCTGGGAATCTGAGCTATTTGTCCATGAGGGCCTGCAAAGCATTGGCTTTGTTCCTTAAAAGTTTCTGGACATATTTAATTAATGAGCATCATTCTCAAATATGACATTCCAGGCAAAGTCTTGGTTGCATAACCCATATTTTCAATTATGTCATGATAACAAGAAGGACGGATTCTTATTGAACCTACACAAAAATACTGGCATG